CAAATTTTTCACCCGTCACCATCTTAAGATCACCCCTTAACACCTCAACTTCTTTCACCACTTCACCCCTCAACACCTCTACTTCTTTCACTACTCCATCTATTTTTCCTTCCACTACCCCCTTATGCCTCTTAAGTGTATCTTCGACTCTATCAAGTTTCTCTTCGACTCTTTATTGTCTTTGCATGATATAAAATTGGATTTTTTTTTATATCAGCCAATTCAGACATCAAAATATCGAAGTTACTCTGTTTTCCCTCACCGTCGTCCCCCTCACCGTCATCCCCCAATACAACCATCTCTCATTTCTTCTCCTCTACCTCCACTACCTCCTTTGCATCCTTGCCAATAACCTTCAAAATTAAATTACAATATTAAGATATTGATTATATTCTTAATATTATTTAATTACATTTATTACTCTTTCTTGCTTCTTCGCTCTATCCAACTTCAACTTCACCATCACTCTAACCACCTCTTCCTTCCCCAATGCAAGGATGTGTGCCACTCCGGTTCTTTCATAAGCCGGCACTGCCTCACAGCCCGACTAAAAATCGAACGGTGCAACCTGCATTTATAATAAAATTTATATTTTTATATAATAACTATACTATCATTTTATATAAAAACACAAAAAAGTTATTCAACTCATTTACCTCTAAGATTGCTATGCACCCTTTGAGGTATCTCTGGCTGCCCTTTTTAAAGGTGATTATTGATTCAATCAATCTCGAACGGATATATTCAGTCCAATTGAATTCACCCTTCAAGCCTTCATTGCAAATGAGCTTAATATATATTCCTTGTTCGTTGACGTATCACCCGTTGGACAAAGAAAGATACCGACAAGGTATAATAGAACTCTGGCCTTCAGCTCATCCCCCCTGTAAGATCCACTTTTTATTTCCTCTTTAATTTCAGCATATGTCACCTTCTACTTCAAACCATATTTGGAGGCAAGTGCTTTCCAGTCCTTACTCTTACAGACTTCTACAACACTTTTGCCTTCATTTTCTACCCCCAATACGGCTACAGCACATGGGATCCCGAGATGAAATGAAAAATCACCATACTTAGCAATACATTGTCTGACATCAAATTGCGCCATCAAGGATCGACACAATTCCCTCCGAATAGGTCGATCCCTTACTCCTACCAACGATCCAAAACCTATTTCTCCCAGCACATTCAACTGACCCTTCTCCTTAAGGTGTTTAATTAATGAATTCACCCTTTTAATGATGCATCTTGTCGAAACTTCCTACATTTTTTAACAATATATAATGTTATAGTTCTTATATATTTTGTATCAACGTATTTACAAGTTTAATGAATACCTTATTTTCATGTGCTTTCCTCCGTTCTTTGTATTCTTTACTATCATTCATTGACTGTGTGATGTAAGGTTCCTTTTCAGCATCACTCATCGAATTTAATCAAACCTATTCCTCCGTTCTTTGTATTTTGTATCAATGTAAGGTTCCTCCGTTCTTAATCAATACATTAACACTAAATAATACTCAATGTCAATTTCATTTTACATACCGAACCGCTCTGTGTGCCATCTTCCTTCATCCTTTTGCATTCGGCCATACTGTCAACATTTAAAATTTGTAATCAATTTAAAGTTTATCGATACTTTAATCCAATTACCATTTCAACAATAATAACAAAAAGACATTGATACTTACTAGAAGTACATATATCCACCATTTGGTTGCTTTCGAGTCTCGGCCTCAATTTCAAAGTCATATGCGCCACCAACAATTTTCCAACCCATTGACTCCATTTTTCCTGGCCTTTATATATCAGTTTACGCAAATCAAATTATTTTGTTACATACACTTTATTTAATATACAAATATAGATAACTACTCTTGTGGTAAAACGGTTTTCTTCAAAAGAATTTGAATGGCCACTACAAAATGTGTCGGCACATTTATACAACCTATAATATCATTTTATACCTATAATATTTAATAAAAGTATCGACATTTATATTTTTCCTTGAATATCACTTTCTACCTGCAATCGGTCACAAATGCTTCTTTACTCCAAAACCCCAAACAACACATAAAAACACTATCGTGATTACTGTAATAATAAAAAATTAGGGTTTCGACAACATACTTTTCGATTCGACTGCAGCAACAAACAAACAAACTTCGCTTTAGAAACGTCTTCTGAAATGCAGCAACAATTACGCTTCGATTTCAAAAACTCGTCCGTTCTATCTATTATCAGAGAATATTTTAGCTATGACATTTATATTTTCATCGGATATGTTATTTATATTTAATCGATACAAATACAAAAGTGTCGATACTTTTATGTCAAGTGTCGATACTTTCGAAAGGATAATTATGTATTTCTTTGAAAGTATCGATAATTTATTACACGTACTTACGAAAGTATCGACACTTTTAATATATCCGGTATCATTTTACCGGTTTTATCATTTTGATGTCCGTTTTATTATATTTTTACCTGTTATATCGTTGTTTGATCGATACATTTTTTTAAAGTATCGACACTTTATAGACGTTAAAACTGCTTCTCTTTTAAATTCACAATGTGTCGATCCTTATATAAAGTTTCGACACTTTCAATATATCAGGTAGCGTTTTACCGGTTTCATCACTTTGATACCAGTTTTATCATATTTTTACCTGTTATATCGTTGTTGATCGATATATTTTTTGAAAGTATCGACACTTTATAGGCGCTAAAAATGCTTCTCTTTTAAATTAACGAAGTGTCAATCCTTATATTAAAGTACCGACACTTTAAATATATTTGGTACCGCTTTACCGGTTTTATCATTTCAATACTGGTTTTGTCATAGTTTTACATGTTATATCGTTGTTGATCGATACATTTTTAAATTGGATCGACACGAACCGACAAGTTAAGTTTGCCGGTTGCATAATTTTTTAATATTTCTTCATGACTTAGACCTACTACATTATTATTAGTCAACATTTCCAGTAGCGCTAAACCGAATTTGTTAAATATCTTTTAATATATCCGGTAACGTCGTATATTAGCCGTATATTAACCCGCCGTTCCTGAGACATTCCCGTATTAATGGTATGTTAGCATGTGAAGGTTATTAACATGGTTTTCAGAACCGGATCGGTTAGCGAACCAGTCATGTTATCGGTTCACTGGTTCAACCGATCGAACCGGTTCGACCGGTCGAAAGAACCGGACGACGTCATAATTATTTAAAAAATTAAATAAAAATACCAAAAATATTTAATAAAAAATAATTTTTTATATCACAAGTCATATTCAAAGCAAGTCATAACATATATAAGTTAAAAACCATAAAATCAAGTGAAACAAAATGATTCAAATTAATTGCAACATAATATTTAAGGTAAAACATATTAAATAATAAATATAATTATATAACTATAATTAAAAAATAAATTTGGGGCTAAAAAAATCATAATAAAATGATATTGTTTGGTTTAATTTTTTAAAAAAACAATCTCATATGGCTAAGAAACATAGAAGAGCATCCCAAAAATCTAAAAAGTAAAAATATGAGAACAAAACAATCTCACATTGCTAAGAAACATAAAAGAGCATCACAACTAACTTCTATAAATAATAGAGGTAATTTGGCATTCAAAATCATGGAGCCTTTTAGTGAGCATTGAGTGAACTATTCTTTCACTTCAATCAATTTCACTTCAATCAAGCTCGAATTTTAGTCTTCAATCAAACTTCTATTTTTTTTTAGTTCAAGCCTTTTTGAGTTCAAGTTTCAATATTATATTTCGAGTTTGAGTTGAACTTGATAATTTTTAGCTTGTGAGTTTGAGTTGAGTTGAGTTGAGTTTACTTTTAAAGTTTTCAAGTTCGAGTCGAGCTCAGCAATACTCGAGTTCGACTTGGTTCGTTTAACAAACGACGTTGTTTGGTTTAATTTTTTTTAAAAAAAATAAAAATCCCAGTTTTTTCCGATTTTTTCCGGTTTCCAGCCGGTCTGGTTCGAACGGTTCAGCGGTTCTGGCCGGTTCACTAATAGCAGTTCAACCGGTTTAAATTGAATCGGACTAAGCAACGATTCCCAGTTGAACCGGCCAGCCCGGTCCGATTTTCAAAACAGAGGTTATTAATCATTGGTTTTTATTATATTTTTGCGTATACGTAAAATCTGGTTACTCGGCAGTGTGTAAATGTGTAATTTGGTGCATATAGGCCTAAGTTTTATTTTAATTAATTTTTTATGTTATCTTCATGTGCATAACTCGACATAATTACATAATTGAATTAAGGGCAATACCCTTTTAATTTAAAATTATTTTAAGTTGATTGTCTTAACTTATTAGAGATTCGTTTTTGACAATTTTAAATTAAAAGCGTATCTTATTAGTGACACCTAATAAATTGATTTCTCACTTAAAATTTGGGAACCAAAGAAAAAGAAATATTCAGTTATTTAAATTTTTCGAGGAAAGATTGTTATAATTTATCTAAGATATGGTCTTGATATTTTTCAATAATCGAATATTCTTCATCTTTCTAAAAGGAGTGGTAATTTTAATTTAATATATTTTGGTGCATTCAAATAATTTAATATTATCATATTTCATTGTAAAATTCATATTTTGTTGTTTTATGAGATCAAAAATCAAATTAAATTTGGATTTGAAAATTTCATTGCAAAGACATTAATTAATCGATTAGGTACCGATTTAGGGCGCTGTGGGATTGCTAATCATTCCCCACACGTAACCGACTTCCGAACTCATTTTTGGTAACACATACCTCAATTTGTTCTTTTAATTAAAATTAATTTTTATTTAAAATGACAAAACGTTTTTGGGTGCCCAATCACATCATAATCAAATATTGGTGGCGACTCCTCGAACCATACGTTTTTATTTTTAAAAGGAATCCTAAATTTTTTGAAACGAGAGATTTTTTTTTAAATCACATTTGTTTTTAAAATAAAAAAAAATCAAAAGAGAGGCAGAGTTACTAACCTGTGATGCCTTGGCTAGAGTGATTGCCATATTTGTTGCACCTTGAGACCATTGCACCAACTTGTCCCTCATGTTCCTTTCACTTGAAGTGTAATTTCCACTATGTGGGAATCGGTTACTCATCATGTACCTTAAAGTTCCTTTGACATCGACCTGATCATCTTCCGAGAGAGGGAAATGAAGGAGCACGTGCAAGATTCCGGCTAGACCGTTGGCTGCACCCCAGTACCTTGTACCATGCCATCAATACTTAAGTGGGGATTTGCTTGTTTAGGAACAAAGCAGCCCATAAGAATCCGGCTCGACCGTGAAGAAGATCATACGACATTCCGAAACCACCTTCTTCAGGTCCAACCGGGAGAGCCTTTTCTTGTGCTACGTATATGCTCTCCATGAACCACACAAAGTGATTAAGGTTGTGGGTAAGGATTTTTCATGATAAAAAAATAAGAATGCATTTGATAGAAAATTATCCCATCACATATGAAACTGAATATGTGAATGGATTAAAAGTGGAGCCGGGTAATCATTTTTCTGAAAATTTTAAATTATCATATATTTTTTATTTATAATTTATTTTTATATTTTTATTTTATAAAATTTTATAAATTCGTTTAAGACTGATTCAGTACCAGAATTCAGTGTTTCCACCGTTAGAATCCGTACCACCACCATGAATCTCACCATATTCGAACACAATTGTTCATTGGGATTAAGGGAAGAATAGATACTGTGTAAAAAAAGATACCTGGCAGAGACACGCGACAGGAACGCACGCGTCAACGATCTCAGCGGCCAATAACAAGTCCTGCCGATTACCAGCCACGTCGTAAGATCTCAAGCAAGTAAAAGCTGTCCCCAGCAGCCCCGTGTACACCGTCGGGTCTATTCCAGTTCCCGACCTGTCACCACTTCCACCACCTCCTTTCCACGTTACCTCCAAAAAATACAAAACCACCTGTAAAAGCTTGTTGTCGTATCTTAATTATAACAGCATAGACAGTTCGAGGTTCAAATGTAAGAACAATTTTCTAGTCCTAGGAAAACGACAAAAATATCCCAAGAAACAAACAGGCTTACCTGGTTCTTGAGAGCGATGGCGGCTTTGAGGAAAATATCAGCAGAGAGTGAGAAGCTGTTAGAAAGCGTTGGATCCACGTTGAGAAAATGATCTAACCGTTCATTTTCACCCTCTTCATTGCTTTCTTTAGAAGCCGCAAACTCCATTACAGAAGACATTGATGTCTGGCTTTTGAAGTCTGAAACTTTCACCAACTTCCACCATGAAGGACGACGATCTGGCGACTCCCACCACTTCAGAACCGTTCCTCTGATGCGAAATACGACGTGGGGCTGGTGACGAGAGTTGGAAGCATAATAAGGAGCGAGTCTTGTAGCTTCGTTGAGCGAAGTGGAACAAAGACTAGATAACCTTTCCCTTAGGCATGAAGGGAAAATCCCTTGATTTTGGAGCTGAGATGGGTGGATCTTGCATTCGGATTTCGAGAGCCCCATAATCACAAATTTTCTTTTCTATTTTTTTCATGCTTTTCGCTCGATTTCTGTTATGTATATATAAGCGGAACAACTTGGGAGAAAACAAATTCTGATGAAGCTTCCTCGTACGCAGCAAACCACTTCTGCGTTACTCATGAGTGCGATAGCGTGGATCAGTGTCGGGTTAATCACCGTTGGATCATAGAAGAGGCAGAAGAAAATTTCCAGAATAGAGAGAGAGTTTAGCTTCTCTCTTTTTCCCCCCCACGTGTAATGCTGATTGTAATACTAATGGTAATTACAATTTAGTACTATAAATCGTGCTTAATAGATGTGCTAAAAGTTTATGGTTGGGCTTAAAACATGGGCTCATTTTAGCCTGGTCTGATTGGACCAAGTTTTCATAGCTATCGAGGCCTAGACGACTCAACTTCACCATCATTGATTATAAATGAATAGCAGGAAAGTAGTTGTCGAAATCAGAGCAAAGCTTTGCAACACCACATGCTAAATTTCTTGTCCAGATAAGAATGACCAAAAATGGACTTAAAATTGAAGTATTTGACGTTAGCAAATCCCGTAGCGTTAGACAAAGGTTCAACCCAATCGTCCCTTTCCACAGTTAATACACTCGAAAACGATGTGAACCGTCAACGTTCTTCCTTAATGCCCCATCTCCACAACACCCTTAGCTGCCTACCAAAAGCAATGTCATGTAAAACCCTTTTATGGCCAAAAATAAATTCAAAGCCCCTTCAATGAGGCTTGAACCTGTCTATCTTCATGTGTTTATTGCCTCTGCTATACACATAAATACGGTAGCTCCTTTGTCCTATCAGCTACGCTATCCAAATACACACAAGCTCAGTCTTTCCTTACATCTGATGTGGAAGCTTTCACCTTTATGATCCATCATCAAACCCCACCTCCCCTCTCAAGGCGAGAATTAAAGTATAATTAACACCGTAGGATAGAATGTTTGATCTCTTAAATAAGATTAAAAATTTAAATCATAACAATATAAATCGCGGGACATTTTTTCTTATAATATTGATATCAATTAGTCACATGTTCTACTAGTCATGTTTAAGACTTTAAATCGAATATATAACTTATCTTAGAACGAACACCACGATATCTTAAAAAAGATATCCAGAATTTGGCTCAAAACAAAATATTCTACTACTAGTTTTTTTGACAATTCATAGAGTGGGGTGGCTTTAGCTAGTGGTGGAGCCGAATAATACACAAAGGTGAAGGCCGAGAGGAGGGTATTTGAAATAGACATGATTGAATGATTTGAACCCCATGATCCAAACAAGGTGGCACGGAAATCTAGGGCAAAAAAAGCTTAGATGCTTCTGGGGATCTGTGTTTTGAAGAAATTGAAATATAACAGTTTGGGTGTGATTTAGTGTTTTATCTGAAAATTTTGGACAGTGGAACCAGAGACACAGAAAGAGACGACAAAGTGGTAGGTCCCAACTTTTCTGACAAAGGAGTAGGTATAGGTCTCTGCCACCGTTGCTCCCCACCACCATCTACATCGTCTTCACCATGTAAAACATGATTTTTCCTTCACCATTGCCTTTCTTTCTCATTAAAATTACACCCTGTCAAAGTTTAGTTATTGAATTGGGTACCTATTGATCATTCTTTATACAAAAAGTTGATTGAATCTTTCACGTATGGTAAAAAACTTTTCCATATAAAAAGCTTGTTGGTTGGGAAAAAAAGTGGATTTATGTTTTTTAAAATTGATTTTTGGATCTTGTTGACAAGTTTTTATTAAGATTCTCTAATTTTTTTATAGAATGTTTTAGTTATTTTATTTTTTTCTCAGAGATGATTTTATACATTTGTTATTATTAGTTTTTTTAAAAAAGAGAAATTGCATTCGATTTCAATAGCATCGAAGATTACAAATTGTTTAATGCAATCATGTTCATCATAATAAAACCAATACTGAATGATTCTCGACAAAACTCAATAGGCGAGAGAGTGAGCAACCTTGTTGACTTCTCGATTGACATAAAAAATTTAAAAACCTTGGTTATTGTCAATGATTGCATGAGCCTAGGTGAACATCAATCCGATGGTGGAAATATCCTCCTTCGATTGGTAAGATGTTTCACAATCGAAATAAAATCTCCTTCGATAATAACTTGTTGTCACTTATTCTCGGCCGCGAAGTGTTGAAATTTTACTCAAGAGTTTCCAAATTCTTCTTTAAAAATATACGATGTTGATATTTTCTTATAAAATATTATAAGATAATCGAATATTAATTTATATTTTTAAAAATATAAAATATTAATATTAAATTGATATTAATTTGGATCACGCAACACCGGTTTACAAGAAATCTTAATTTTTAATATCAAACAATAAATAAATTTATAAATAAAAAAAATCGAATGCAAAATATACCATATTATATTCAAAGTTCTAACAAGCTCATCCTTCAAAATTCAAAATAATCCAAAGTCGACTTTCTCAATTTGTTTTATTTTGTATGTATAATCGTATTGTTTGATGTGGTGGCGGAGGGCAACAACCATGTGAGAGCTTATTGCATGTCTCTCTCACGCGCCTCTCTTTTTACCTCTTCCTTATTTATATTAAGCTAAGGTGATTACAAAGTAATATGTGCTTTGAATACTCTTGATCACTTGATAATAAACGCTCAATCACCCTATTGTAACTACTGGTGCTCGAACTCTGACCTCTAAGAACAAAAACGATTCTTCTAACCAATGATATAAGTTGGTTCTAGCACTTTAATTTGAAATTTTAAAATCGTTAAAATAAAAGTTCATTGATAAATTTGTGGATTACAAGTTATAATTAAGAGAAGAAAGTATTAGAGCCTGTCTATTTTAATTGAAGAAATATGTTAGTTAACAGTTAACCGAAGCGTAGGTTACTAAATATATAACTGTATTTTTCTATTATTTGTAATGTCTAATAATAATTTGGTTTAATATACGTTTAGGTTCTTAAATTATACCTCAAATTGACTTTTAGTTCTTAAAGAAATTTTAATTAAAAGTAGGTGTTTAATATTTTCTCCGTTATATTTTTAGGTGTCCGATCTTTTAAAAAACATTAAGTAAAACATGTCACGTTTATATTTTTTTTGACTTTTTTTAAAAATAAAAATATTATTTAAAAATATTTTAAAAAACGGAACGTGAAACATGTCGACTAACGATTTTTTTAATGTTTTACATCTAAAAATGTAACGACAAAAACATTAGATATCTAACTTAATGAAAAATTCTTTAAACACTAAAAATTGCTAAAATTGTATTACTATTACATCATGGATGGACATTAGTGTTTCTTTATCTAACCTAATCTTTATTAAAATCGAATTAAATATTTCTTTATTCATTTCTTTTATTTCGAAATGAAAGAACCTCACTAATACCAAACAAATGTCTCCCCCTACTCTTCAATTCGCTAACATCTAAATATCACCAAATTCAAGTATAAATTAGACTCTTTTTAACTATATTTGAATTAATTATACATATCTCTATAAATTCAAGTATAAATTTATATATTAATGATTTTGAATCTTTATAAAGGAGTTCATGCATTGGGCACCGGTTAAATTTGTTGTTTAATGACATTTATATATTAACAAATTTCATGGATGAGGAAAGTAACTCATAGAGATTATTATTTAAAATTAATTACAACTTAAAAATTCAATTCGATTGAACGTATTTAAATATTTCATATATTTTAATATAATGATAGCACAAATTTAAATGATATAGACATTGTAGAAAAATTTACTTCATTCCTAACAAAAATGATGTGATATTCAATAATGCATCTAAGACTTTAATTTTAAAAGTTACAAGTGATCAAAACTTAATAATATAAAAAATACTTTGTTTTTAATGTAATATTAGATGACATATTTTAATTATGAATTCATCACTATAAACCACAAAGGTATCTCATAACCATAAGTCGAACCGCCAGCCAGGGGCAGATGTATGCGGTCTTCATGGGGTTCAATTGTATACCCATTATTTTGAAAATACTACTAAATCTAGTTTAATATATTAAGGGGAATTGAAAAAATAAAGAAATTTGCATACCCATTTTTTTAGAAAATAGAATATTAAAATTTTGAACCTTTTTTTAATTTCTAGATCCGCCACTGCCCCCAGCACTAATAGTCAGAGCAACAAATATCACCAGTCTCAATCTAGAATAACACTGAGAATCAGTATCATCTCTCGATCTCTTCCCAAACTGATTCACATAACCTGCTTGAGTAAGTGGTCCTGGTTACCTCTGAGCTTTATCAAAATAATAAGGTTTAAGACTCACATGTAATGACTCACTCTTCTCAGCAGTTCTGGCCCGACGAACTAAAGTATTCAACACTGTGTCATGGTGTAAGGCAACCGCTGAATGAATCGAGGGGTAGAGACCTTTCAAGAACCAATCACACTTTTCCTTCTCGTTTGAAGCCAACCCTGAAGCATACTTGACCAATCTCATAGTCGGTCAGGGACATATCATTTTGCTTCAAATTAATAAAATGTTCTCAACACTTTTCCAAATACTCAACCCCCATATAACGATCTCGGAAAGCCTGATAGAAAAGCTCCCAAGTGACCTGTCCGGCTGGAACGGTGTCCTGCTCATATTCTCACCAATCCTGAGCTTCAATGCCTAACAATCATACAGCTGATCTCAACATACTATCAATAAGATAATCCATTTCCTTAAACTGTCGTTACAACTTCTTCAACCATTACTCAACATTAGTGGGATCTATCCATGTTCCTACCCAGAAACACAATCATCTCAACAACTAAGAACTCGATCAAGATGAGTTTCCTAACACCTTCAGTATGACAGATGCCATAACCATTTTTTTTAAACAATTAAATATTATTTTAAAAAATGATTATGACTTTAATTTGAAAAATATTGATGATTTTTAATTGATTTGGAATAAATAGGATAGAGTCACCATCGACCTTTGGGCTAGGTAGGTTGAATACCTAAAAACGTCTTTTTTAAATAATTTTAAGAAAAAAATCACTTTTTAGACAAAACTCGGTCTGTGCTTACCAAAGATTTGATTTAAAAGGATTCGGGAGTCGTTTACGCGTGGGGAAGGATTAGCACCCCTACATCGCCAAAAAATTGGTACTGATTTGCTTACACAATGTCGTAAATGGTGGA